AACTTGGACTGAATGTTAATTTTGTTGCTTTTTGAATAGGAATGAAATCATGATTTAATTTATACTAAATTAAAATTATTAGATTACTGGCTTTGAATAAAGGTTCAACTGGTGGAGGGAGGGGGTTGAAACTTTAATGTATGTGGTAGATTCAGATGTTTCAATCAGGATGAATCATGAGCAATAAAACCAGTATGTGGAAAGAGTACAAAATCTTGTTGAAAGTATTCATGTTAGGTCTTAAAAAAGAAATGGCTGATGTATTCAGGGAGATGTAGTCTGAAAAAGTAATGTTTCCAAGCTGTGGGTCTTACATCCTAAAAATTTTGACACATGGGAAATCCCAGTACACAAGATGAATTTGCACATGGGATACACCCACAGGTCCACAGACAGTAGAATAGGCATACAACTGATCATGTGAAATCCTTGCCACTCAAATTCAAACGGAGGTAACCCCTGTCCATTTTGGCATATAAATGTATATACTAGAGATGGGGACGACTCATCATTTTTGTGAGTCGTCCCGCTTTGTAAGTCGTCAAAAGTTGACGTCTCATGAAGCACGAAGCTGCCCCTATGAAGCAACAAACTTCGCTATTTGTCGATTCGGGGGGGGGAGGTATTTTAAAAACCACCCCCACCGCCACCCTTCCTATTACCAAAAAAAAAAAAATCCCCACTATTCTGCCTACTGGCTGCTTATCAGCTTATCACCCCCACTCACAGCCACCAAACCCACAATCTACCCCACCTCCTTCCTTTCCCTACCTTAGCCCTCGCCCACTGACACCCCCTTCCTATTTAAAAATAGCAACAATACCATTCTGCCTACTGGCCACCGATCAACTAATTGGCAACAGATAGGCAGCCACACACACCCCACAGCCAGCCACCCCAACAGCCTACCCCCACACACCCTTCCTCTCCCTACCTTAGCCCCTGCCCTACTCCCAACAACACCCCCTTATCTTAATAGCTGCCGCCGAGGTCTCCATCAGGCCTTCGCAACCACGGCATGTAAAAAGGGAGACTGGCTGCCTTTTGCAAAAATGGCAACTGCAGCTTCCCTACCCTGAATGAAGCCACAGCTGCCATCTTTGCAAAAACGGAAAGTCTCCTTTTTACATGCCATGGCTGGGAAACCAGAAGGAGACCTTGGCAGCAGCCATTAAGGTAAGAGGGTGTTGGTGGGGGTGGGTTGGAGGCTAAGGTAGGGAGAGGAAGGCGGTGTGGGGTGTAGGGTGTTGGGGTGGCTGGCTGGGGGTGTGGCTGCCTATCTGCCATCGATCAGTTGATCAGCAGCCGGTAGGCAGAATGTTTTTTTGTAAAAATAATAATGTGAAGGACAAATAAAAATGGGTAGATATTAATCCCTTCATATTCATGGGGGGGGCGCTCTGGAACCCATGAATATGAAGGGATGAATATTTAACAAATCGGCTGTTTTCGTCAAAAAAGCCGATCTGTTTTTCTATTCGTCCCCATCTCTAGTATATACCATCCCACTACTACACCAGTACCCTATATGCAGACTATTTATTTCTGCAAAAACTTCTGTAATTATTAGAAAAAATAATTCATCTCAAGATCTCATATCTGATGAATTGCGCTTGTTCATAACTATGTATATAAACGATCTCTCTTAATTTCATTAGTGGAAGAAGAACAAATTACAGTTTCTTTTTTTAAAAAAGAAAAGCATCTGTATAATACTGTACTTCAAAAGTTAGAACATTGATGTGTTGATATAGTTATTTCTTCTTCTAATTTATTTTTGTTTTTTAAGGGACCATCTCTTATAAATCAAGACATGCATATAAAAGCAGGGGTTGTTCTACTGTATTCGCAATATCCGCCTTTCCCAACAGGAAGCATATGGTCCCTTGAGGGCACCTTAGAAGAGGGCCATATACTGAAAAATGTCTGAAAGATATCTGTTTGTGTTGTATACAGTACTTGTTTAGTGGGTGGCCCTGGAACCTGAGAAGAGCTCCTAAAAGGGACGTAGCCAAAACAAAGGTTGAGAATGACTGCTCATGATCATAAGAGAGAAAGCATGTGGCTGTGGAGCCAAGAGTGGATGGTCAGTTCCCTAATTCCCAGGAGAATAGCCAACCAGTGTAGCCTTGAACAAGTACACAGTTCTAGAGTACCACCAGAAGAAAGGATTGGCCAACCACTTTTGAGTACTTCATACCTAGCAGATCCTGGCAAGGACTGCCAAAAGTTAGAATCAATCTGCTACCACATAGTTGTTATTGTTACTAGTAATAGTAAAAAAAGTGTGCATCTTTGATTTTCAGACTCGTTGCATATTTTGTTTATTTAAGCTGCAAGTTAATGTTTTCTCAGTCACGTATACAATATTATAGCTTTAAGCATGACATTCATAATATATATAATGACTCATTTGGTGATTAGAATCATGTTAAGAGCCATGTTCTCTCCATAAGCTAAATCCATCTGTTGTTGCTCTGTGTTGCTTGCTCTCCCAGCAGCATCCTCAAGCAACAACTTAATCAGAGATCAGTAATTCTGTTTTGAACATCAAGTATTTTTGCCTGTATGTTGACTAACTTGTTTTCAAAATTATATTCAGTTAGTATTTTCATTTTTCCATTATTTCCTTGTTTCTCCTTATTTAAGTATATACTATAGGTAAATATCTGTTTGGATGCATGTTTTTGAATTCAGAAAGTATTCTGTTGTAGAATGTCCATTATGTAAAAGTACTGAGGGCTGTGACCAAGGTGGGGGGCCACACCTTTGAAATGTTGGGAGAAAAATGTCTCTTCCAATACATTTTCAAGCCACCCCAGTTATTACAATTAATTCTAGGACATCAGCGTCAAGCTATAATAAACAAAGTTGGGACTTTGGGAAAAGGGAAGTCAGTAAAAATTCCTTTTTTCTTCCATTTCTGGGAGCATTCAGTTAGTGAAGTGGGAACTATACTGGATTCAACCCACTGCAGTTAGGTATAACACACTTTCATCAACAATAGGAGCCTCTCCATTTATGAAATTCTGGGTCCAACCCATCCTTTTCGATTATGTCCAAGTCAATGAACTATAGTTAGTCATTAGTTTCAGAGCTAATGACTATCTGAAACTGCAGTTTACAGTCACTATTCCCTTGGGAGACCAGATGACCCACAGTGCAATGGCTCACATTTGCAAAAGAAAAGATAAACTGGAACATTAGAAACATTAAGTACTCTGTCCTTGAAAATACCTAACCTCTTACTATATCTGTGAAGATTCTCAGTCATCCAGGTGAGGTTATTTGGAAGTTGAGTCATGGCAACAGGATTTCTTATTAGGTTGGAATGTTTTGCTACTTATCCAAGTAGAGACTGAAGAAGCTGCTTGGATGAGTAGTGAAACGTTTTAACCTAATAAGAAAGAAGTCCCATTGCCATGACTCAACTTCCAGATAACCTCTTAATATGTTGTCTCACAATGTTTTAAGGGTATTTTAAAACCATGCTCTTATTTGAATATACCACTGAATTCACCTTGTATGGATATTCCAAATGCTGTTCACATTACATTTAGTATATGTACCAATATAGCTTCTGGAAAGCAAACTATTAGCTGATGTTAAGTATTAAATATAGAGAAACATCAATTTGTGGTTATTTTTAGGCCCACATAGTATGAGAATTCATTTCCTAAATTAATTACAGTTCTTTTCATAAATGCACTAACTTTGAATTCCAGTTATTTTGGTGGACCTTATTGCCAAAAAATGTCCTTAGAAATTTTGCTATTTTATTAACTATTCCATTTTAGTATGATGATGAGATACAACATCTTACAGTAAATGGCTCACTTCTGAAGAAATATTAATACACACAATTTTGGATAAGTTACATTCCTATCTTAGTTCCAAAGGTCTGAGTGAGATTTCAGTACAGTAATGTTAACTTTGCCCTGCGGGGTTCCATTTGTGATTTGTAATGCTACACTTAACTGTGCTATCCTGCCTTCCACAGGAGATGACATTGTACCTGGCATCCAGATGTTGGTACTAGCAGTGATAGGAGAAGAAAGCATGAACACGCCATTACAATTTGTCTTATCCCCCAAATTACTCTCATCCATTCAGCTATATAACTATTATAGATAATAACTTACAGCACGTCTTATTCAAGCTGCTATGAAAGGACTTATCCACCACTCAGGGGATCCTCCCCCCCTCAGATCACATGCTGTTTCTGGAAATAGTTCTATAACAAAGGGTGCAGCTGAGCGTCTCATAGCAAATATTACATTCTTTTCCTTGAAGATATTGGTTGCTGAAAATTTCTGTTGCTCTTCCAAATGAAAGTAGCTGCTATTCCAACATCTGTGACTTCTGAGTACGTCAACCCCAGAAAGGTACATCTCTTAGTGCCATAACAGCTCCTAATGGGGATAGGGTGGTGTCTTCCCAAAATTTTGGAGTGAGAATGCTCCCGTCCTAATTCATGACCCACCCATGTTTTGCTGTATCCTAGAGTGGCATGGCTAATGACAACATTTACACAGCACTGATCCATTCACTGGGTTGCATCCCTTTCTAAGTGTTACATATAGGATTCATTGAAGTCATTGTGAAAAGATCATGAGCATCGTTTCACACTGATTTCAGTGAATCCTGTATGCTATATGTTGATATCCCATCCAGCTTGTCAATGGTTCTTTTATGTACTTTTCTGGAGTTTATATGTTCACAAGTCATATGTTTGGGAACCATAGCCTCTCTTATTTGGAGCATAGGAATGGACGCAACCTTGTAACAGTCAGATTAGGGTTCACTGAACTCAGTGTGAAAAGTTAATTATAACTGTCTTCAGTCCCATTGATTTTAGTGGGAGCTAACAGTGACAAATTTACTCTGGACCCGTCCCATAAATTATAAGCCATTAATACAAGTAACACCCTATTGACAACATCTGAAATATGCATATTAATTGCTACAGCATTTCATGTTTCTGTTCTCCGTTCTTCTAGGTCTTTCATGGTGATATTTCAGTAACACATATTCAGATGACTTTGGGATACTTTTCACATCAATGATGAAAGGATTATCTGGAAGTCGCAGTCACCATCATGGGGTTGCCTGTGAACCAGGATGTGACTCTCTGGTACATCACTCAGACAGGAAGCCATATTTGTTAAATCCTGTGGAACACCATCCTGCAGATCACTCTTACTACACTCAGAGGAACTCTTTTCAGGGAGAATGCATGGTTCCCTATAATGATCAGATTGCCAGCAGCACATTCCCTCGGAGGCATTACAATTCCCATAATGAGCTTAAAGATGAGTGTGCTTTGGTGCCACATGGAACAGCTGGTAAAAGTAATCGCATCCCTGCCAATCTTTTGGACCAGTTTGAAAGGCAGCTTCCTCTTAACCGAGATGGCTACCATACTTTACAGTACAAAAGGACTGCTGTAGAACACCGTAGTGATAGTCCAGGGAGAATCCGCCACTTGGTTCACTCCGTTCAAAAACTTTTCACAAAGTCTCATTCTCTTGAAGGCCCATCAAAGGGCAGTATCAATGGAGGCAAAGCCAGCCCAGAGGAGACACAGTCTATGAGGTATGGCAAGCGTAGCAAGAGCAAGGACAGGAGATCAGAAGGAAAATCCAGGTCAAATGCATCAGGATGGTGGAGTTCTGATGACAACTTGGACAACGATGTTTGCGTTTACCATGGACCAAGTGGGGTGATGACTATGGGACGATGCCCTGACCGCTCCACCTCTCAGTACTTTATGGAAGCCTATAACACTCTTAGTGAACATACTGTGAAGCCTTCCAGGAGCAATAATGATGTCAAATGTTCCACCTGTTCAAACCTGCCAGTAAATTTGGATGCTCAGTTAATGAAAAAAAGTTCTTGGTCCTCTACACTGACAGTGAGCAGAGCTCGTGAGGTTTACCAGAAAGCTTCCATGAACATGGACCAGACAGTGGTGAAAGCAGAAACCTGTCAACAAGAACGGTCTTGCCAGTATCTTCAGGTACTGTACATGTTATTGATTTCAGATGCTTAGGCTGCCTCTGTTTCCTTTCTTGTCTTTCCTGCTGAGATGAGTCTGAAAATGAAAAGAGGAAGGTGGGAGTTAATTCATATACAAATTATAAATAAATCTGCATTTTGGTTGCTAAGGGTTGGTGTTTCAAATGAATGCATACAATGAGGAACTGGTTCACTTTCTTAACATGTGAAAAGAATAAGAACTCTCTGAATAATTGGGGGTGGGGGTTAAAAGCCACTCAAGGCACACAAAACAGCGCAGCAGGTCACAAGGGAACTGGAGGTAGTAAAGCTTTCATTTAGTATTACAATCTCACTGAGCCTTACATTACCACTACAGATATTCATTAGCTTCTGTAATCTTAGGATTTGCCTTCATCTTGTTATTTTGCAATGAAACTGGAGACCCTTTTAACAGTGTTTTGTACACTGTGAACCAATATAAATATCTATTTTGTTATGAAGAGAAAGAAAACCAAACCCTCATGAAATAATTGTACGAAGTGACCAGATTGGTGTTTCCAGCTATTCTTCCTTTAAAAAAATGCTAGTGCTGGCTGGAAAAAAATGTAGTGCTGAAAGAATGAAATTATTGAATGTTCTGATTATACTGTTTGAGAGTACATCAGTTACTCCCTCACAAGCTGTTTGCAGTTAATAAAGCGTCACTATTTTTCACCAGTATTGTATCTTTAAATGTCAAGAATCAGATGTCTGCTCTTGGAGCTATCACACTGCCGGTTAATGTTTGTGGCAAGAACGTGGATCAGAAAATTAACACAGTTTCAGCATTGCAAGATCGGTGGATTGTTTTTTATGCATTTTATTTTGAAGCAGATATGTCACATCTAACTGTGCATGGACAGTGGAGTAATGTCAAGCAAAGAAGAGAAAAGACTATGAGGAAAAAAGAGGTTTGATCCTAGAAATCTTTTTCTGTGGTTTTTGTTTTTTTTTAAATTAATTGGATGGTTGCTATTTTATTCTTTTTGACTGCTATTTAATTCTAATCTGTGCTTTGTGTGCATATTAAAGACTAGTTTTCTTTTGTGTTTCACTTATGGGGCATTCTGTAATTCCATTTTGGCATCTGAGTCCATATTCAGGAACAGGAGGGGATTTTACTGTCATCTTAAGGTATTGATATAGGTATAGTTGAGATGGCCTCAAAATGGGACTGTGGTGCTATGGATTTCAGAGGCTCTGTTTTCAATCATTAAAGGCCAATGTACATCTCAGAATATAAAGAGGAGAGAATATATAGCTTATATGATTTTTACTAGTACATATCTCTGTTGATATAGCTTCATTTGCATAATATAGAAGGAATTTAGAAGGCTGCTCTTGAACGTAGTAAAATAATGACAATGTGCCAGGGAGGAAGACTGTCATATGTGTCCAGTCGAAATAAAATTGTAACCCACCTCTTGATTTTTTTTATGTTAAGTCTTTAATAACACACACTATTCATTTAAGTAGCTCATGACCCAGTATGTGATTGAGTGGTAACAGCGCATGTGTAAACATCGTGGCAGCCTCCTCTTTCCTTGACCCCTACATAGAGACTTTCAAGTCATTTGTAACTGATAGGCATAGACTCCTGAAATAGAATTAGAGGGCATTATCTGTGTCTCCAACAGTCCTCTAAAGCATTGTGCAAAACATCTACAAGCTCCTGCATATTTATTTGCCTTTCCGTGTCTGCTTAGGCTTTTTTTTTAAATCATTATTAAGTACTTGCCAAATTTGTAGAGTCAATTTATTATCACTATTTCAAGATTTTGAAAAGATCAGAGAAATACCCTGTTTGATTTGTTTTTAAACATATGAGTATTATTGAATCTTGAATAACTGTCAGGTGAGAAAGCCAGGCAGGCAGTGTGGCGTAGTGGATAGAGTGGCAGACTAGGGCTCTGGAAACCAGGGCTGAAATCCCTACTTGGCCTTGGAAACTCATTGGGGGAGTGGGGTTGTTAAAATCACTCCTTAAATATCTCACTTTATCTCGAAAACCTGGTAAGAGCATTTTAAGTCAGTTCTGAATTGATGGCATGTAACTAATTAACTAAAGAATGCCAAGTTGAAGAGGTGATATAGAAGTATGGAGCTTTTTAAAAATCATTAAAAAAAACAAAACACCTCTACATAAAGTATGTAAAATATATTTTAAAACCCATGCCTTGCTTATCTAGAGAACATGTACAGATTGTCCTATTAAAATGTTCGCGTACATATGCAAAATAGTTAAGATGGGGCATTATTAATTTCTGAAACAGATTTTCATCTTAAGTGGAAAGCATCCAAATAACTTTAGGGCTGTGCACCGGCTTCAGCCATATGTTGAACTGTTACTATTTATATCAATCTAGTTGCACCCACTCTGGGTTTGGTGCAGACTGGAGTTGTCTTTTGTTGCACAGGATACAATTCCACATATGGAGCCTTACTTTAAAAAAAAAAAGACTAACTGAAAAATAGGAAATAAGGCAGACACTGAAGTTGTGTGAGATGGTAAAGGCTTCTGTATTCTCCAATGACTGAGAGAATGGGAGGGTATTGTATATTAGTGCCTCCCACATTTCTGCTCAGTTTGCTTAGATACTAGCTAGGTTAAGGCAAGTGCTAATTAGGTTTAGTTTCACTTTGATTTTGGACTGAGTGTGTGTGTGACAGTGTTGGGTATTTGCTTTCTTGTCTGGGCTTTGCGTAATTAGGTTTCAGTCAGGTTTAGTTGATTGAAAGGTTTGTCTGTCTTCCCTCTTTCTCTCTCGCTTTTTTAATTTGTCCTTTATTGTTTTGCCACCTGCCCTCCTTAGATTGGGATCACATTGCTGCTTCTATGAACACAGTTCTCATTCCTTCCACACCCCTGACCCGGCTTCCAGTATAAAGGTTGCCTGTTTCTGAGTTAACAGCAGCTGGCAGCAGCTTGTTTAAAAACAGAATTAAAATGGGAGAACCAAATTTTAGATATGGCTTGTCCTCAAACTTCAAAGGTTCCCTGTCTTCATTTGGCACCATAAACCCTCTCCATGTGATCTACCATCTTGCCACATTTCATGGCAATTCGTAACAACAAAAATGCCCCCCCCCAAAAAAAAATTATAGCTTTCTGTGCATCAGGAACTTCCAAATCCAGGCCCAGATTGGATTGGAGGGGCCACAAGTCATACTAGATCAAACTATGTCCTGAGCTGAAGCACCAGTTGGACAACTGGATCAGATTGAGGGACCCATGAACATCTCTGATAACTTCTGAAAAGGGGGAAAGACAATACATTGTTAAAGGTTTTAAAGAAAGTTTGCTTCTGTATTTATTATTGTTTTGGAAACTGAGTGACATTTAAAAGGATCTGATTTCCTGCTCAAGAGCTGATCCTCATGCTTGGACATCCAGTTAACCATTGTGTAAGCATCATGCTGAATTAGATAGGCTTTTGTTTCTGATCAACATTCCTCTTCTTACGTTCGTCATGCTGAAAGTAATGAAGGAGCTCATTCCAACATTCCAAATTACAAAAATCTATGTTATTATGCTGGTCATTTAATCTGTTACCCATTTTGCTTGGAAGTATGAATAAGTTGTTGATGGTTCTGATTGCTATGCAATTGTTACACCTGGGAAATATAAGATAATTTCCTTGAAGTACAATTCATCATATGATCATTGTTACCTGAAAGTGAGTCAATGTTCCACGCAAACAAATCTTTAGAATCTAAAAAAAGGCAAATAATGTTATTAATCCATCTTGCTTTCTGTGTAGAAATACAATCATTCATACACACTGATATCTACTCAATTAGTAGCTCTATGATAGAAGAATAGGACACTTCATGGAGGGGGGCATTTTTGCCCACCTTCAGATCTGGGAGGGCTAGACATTCTACCCAAACACTAGTCACCCCAAAATTCAAATTGTGCCTTCCAGAGGCCTATTCAGGGAATGACTTTCACTACATGCCCAGTTTTGTCTGCAGGCCACACTTTGCTCACCTGTTGTTCTAGAGGAATTCAGTGCACATTGGATTTGATTCAGAACAGCTTGCTCAGACGTGTACTAATAACAAGTAGGACACTCTCTCATCATGTGGTCACTGATGTCATCTGATAACATTCTCCCAGTAGTTTTATATGACTCTGATATGTGCACAGAGGCTCCTAGGAGTGGGGCCTTTACTACATTGGCTCCTATTCTATTGAATGGTCTTTCAATTAAGGTTAGCCATTTTTTTCCTGGAAAAAAAAGCCAAAGTGTGCTGCTTATATACTGCCTTCTAGTGCTTAAAGCTCTCTCTGGGTGGCTTACAACTTTAATTATGCAGACTAACATTGTTCCCCCAGTGAACTGGGTACTCAGTTTACCAACTGTGGAAGGATGGAAAGCTGAGTCAACCTTGAGCTGGCCACCTGAGCCAAGGATCAAACTCAGGTCATAAGCAGAGTCTTCACTGCAGTACTACAGTTTAACCATTGTGCCACAAGGCTGCTGCAGCAGTAGGACTGCAGGGCTAGAAGGGACTCTATGGATCATTGAGTCCATCCCTTGTAAAGGAAACATGGTGAGGAATTTAACTCCCAACCTCTGGCTCCATTGCCAGATGCCTAAACCACTGAGCTATCCAATAGTTCAACATGAGACTTAATTATCCTGAAATCTGAATGCAAGCTCTTCATCTGCCTTGCTGACAATTTCATCTTTCAGAAGGTGGAGGAAATGACAAAGGAGGTCAGCTAACTAACAAGGAAGAACTGGTCAACAAGGTGAAAGCAGTAGGACTGGCCTCACTCTCTTGGGATTCAGGACACTAAAGAAAGAAAACTGAGAGTAGAAGAACACATGTTTAGAGTTTAAGAAACTTGGTTTAACAAACCTTCAGGAAATACTGGGTGACATCCCATAAACAAAAGTGTTAAAAGAGAGAGGAGTTTATGATGAGCAGAAGTTTTTTAAAAACCATATGCACAATCGTAAACAATTCCAG